GGAGGGGGAAGAAGGATTACCGGAAACCTTCACAATAGGGGCGAAGCGCAACATCAATGGCCATTGAACTACGCCAACATCCTTATCAGGGCCAATAAAGGGAATGAGGAGAAAATCGATCAGCCCAAGGCCAAGAAGTGCAGCCGCATATTCACATCGTTGATGATAGTGGCAGTCAATTTTTTGACAAAGAAGAGTCGGCCCAACTTTCCGAAACGCCAGCACTATTACTTTTTTTCCGATTTCTATCCCAGAATTCTCCCTTGTGTGAACTTAAACTTCCACAGACACCAACACAACAGTGGATACAGTGAAGATATAAATAAGAGAACCCACCGCTAGGCTTGTTGGGTAATAAAGAGTGAGAAAATTCCACCTGCAAATGCTACTCCCTCCTAGTAAAGCGCACGAGCTCAAAATTAGGCTATGCCGACACATAAAGGATATTTGGGTTAGGGAGGTGGGGGCAGACCAAAAACGAAATGCAATCTAATAAGCATAATATGGCCTACAGTACATATGTCAAACATACAAGAGGGATAGAAAGCGGGAAACCTACCGTCCGACTCATCTGCTGAGTCATCCGGATTTGAGCTAACGGAGGATGACCGCTGCGGCTTCTCACACAAAACTGTTAAATCGTAGAGTTTGACGACATCAAAACCGGCCTCCCTGACCAACCAGTAGGTGTGTCCCTCCTGCGTGGCATTGCGTTTCAAGAACATGATGAGATTTCGCATTATGCGAAGAATGTGTTCTGGGTGGAAGCAGGAGAGTGCAGGCAGGTCGCAGGTCTTGTAAATCTCGTACTCCTGCATGACGATGCCCTCATTGTGGAAGCACATAGCTACCTCAGGGACTTCATTGAGGATATTCTCTAGCCAGATATCCACGCCCGTGAGTACGTTGATGGGTTCATGAAGTGGGCTAGATGAAAAGGGACACGAAGAGCGCATAAAGACTTGTCAGATAAACAGGGAGAAAGCCGGACCAAATAATTTGTAGACTAAGAATACTACCTTTCCAACACACAGCGCTTGTACAAAAGCAACCTTTGTTTTTGAGTGTAAGCTGTGCCTCAGAAATAGAAAACGCAAGGCTCTTCATCAATTGAAGGTCTATATAAACAGTCATGAGGAGATTGAGGCTTCGTAGTGAAATGGAGTACACACCGTCAGATCTGTTGTCTTTGACTAATGTATTTGGTTGTATTCGGCGTTCAGACCGGTAAAAATTCCAAGCACATTTGTACAAGGCATCGAGAGATCATGTTGAAAGTGCGTTCACCTATGGGGTTACGGGATAAGCCGCCTTGTGGCTCAATCTACAGTTCTGCCAGACAGTCGCACAGCGATCAGTATGATATGCCAACTGCGATGACCGTCGTCAACCCGCCTTAACCAACCCGACTTACGGGACCTGAGATTCGAATCCAAATTCCTTTCCAATTGAACATTAATAAGGTCAGCGCGTCTCCATTGAATCAAGGACCTCTCTTCCTATCGGTTGAGGAAAGGGGTCATGTCAGTATATCTAGTCCTTTTTGGTACTCTCTTCTACAATTCCTATTCCTCTTCTTCGAAGAGACTGTAGCTGAAACTTGGCAAAACAAGCTGAGGCAAAGGGACTTATGAGAATGTCAATCGAAGTCTTTATAGGAAGGGGTAAATTTCTCAACCTAAATAAATTCCTGTCTTTCGATTACCGTCACGGATATGCCCGAAGTTTCTTTAAACTGTTTATCAGACAAGGTTATGCGACAATGTAAGGGGTCGAAACACCCACTGAAGGAAAAAATTAGCACTTTCTGCCTGCAATAGTAGTCAATTACTCAGTTATAATGTAGTCGACAGTTACACTAACCGTGTAGCAGTGGCAGAGGAAATTTGTGATACTGTGGTATTCACACATCTTGCATACACTTCGCACATTTTACCAGTTAAAAAAATGTAACATTCCTTTTAGGCGTATGCTGTTCTTGATGAACAACAATGCGCACCTTTCAGGGCCACTGGGCCTCAATAAATGCACACAGAAGGTGCGCAACATAGCTCTCTGATGGTCTAAGAACCCGATAATGACATGAAACGTTGAAAGCCTAGCGGAGGAATCAATTCACGTATCAAGTAGACTTCAAAGTAAACGTATCGATTAAGCGCTCCACTCCATAACTAGCCGCTGTGCAACTGCTGGCGGGGCTCGAGATTGAGCCCCAAAGCAGAGCGAGACGAGTGAGTTCCATTAGCGATAGGTGAACTTTAACCAAGGAAGAAGAACACCGGGATCATTTTTACAATCGTCTCAACTCCATCTTCCAGATATATAATTCAGGAGCGAAGAAGAAAAGAACCGGTAGCTACCCTTCCATTAAGAACTCGTCATGCAAACTTCTAACGGCAAAATAGAAACAACAGTCTCTAGAAAAGTGAGGAACACCACGCAGCTTTTCAGCTTTCCCAGCAACCATCTGGTAGTTCACAAACGAAACTGTGTGTGAGAACACTCTTCGTACGCGAGCCGGTGAACTGTCTGATGTCGCGACTGGGAGCACAAGCGACTGGCGCAGCGTGAGTCTGTTCCTAGGCATGTTACATCTACTATGCGTGGCAGATCTTGTGGGATACGCGGACTGCGAAGTGCGGCTCACGCTTGGCTTGTTATAGTTTACCTCTCCCTCCTGTGTTGCCTCTGTGTGTCTCCCGTGGGACCTACCCTAGGGGCAAACCCATTACATGAACATTCTGACATTGATAGCAGCCGAATGAGGGAAGAGTCTTTACGAAAACGGGGCCTAAAAGTAATGAAAGGGGGTAAAACACTTTAATATAGAGAGAACGGTGAGTTCTTTCAGTTCC